ATTATTTTTCTACTCTGAACTCTGAATTCTCTATTCTCAACTCAGAGAGTCCCTCTCTAGGGGGTGAGCTGGGCCCTCTCAGGGCTCATCCGATTTGATTCCCTTCTGTCAGGAATCACTGCTCTGCCCTGCTAGTTGCCCAGTGTCTGAATGCCATTGCTTCATATAGTTTGGCTGGTATTCTAGGTGTTGAAGGCAGGGAGAGAAATACTGTTACTCCATAACAGGCAGCAGCAGAGTCATCAATGGTTGTTGTTTTAAACAACAGGTTGGAATTCTAATGTGCAGCAGGATTGCGAACCTCAGCCAGCTGAGCCTTTTCACCAGAGTTTTAACCATTCAGGGCTCTTACCCGCCGTCCTCGCAGCTATGCTGTGTCTCAACACCACTTTCGGGACGAACAACAGAAACGTGGGTGAAGGGAGACAGAGGACAGTGTAAGATAAGAAAATAATAATAATCTATAATTTATCAAGGGTTCCCGAGGCTGAGATGGTGGGGGAGGGAGGGGGAAAAAGAGGAGCTGATACCAAGGGCTCAAGTAGAAAGGAAATGCTTTGAAAATGATGATGGCAACCTATGCACAAATATGATTGATACAATTGATGTGTGGATTGTTATAAGAGCTGTAAGAACCCCCAATAAAATGATTTACATGTTAAAAAACAAAAGCTGAAAAAACCAAAAACAAGAACACACATTTTCCCTGGCTTCTTCCTGAAGCTAGAAGAATAACTGGCCTACAGAAGCCCTCCATTCTTGTATCTGGCAGTTAGGAGTGCTCTCCCAGCTTCCAGGCATGGTCCTGTGTGCCAGAGAGGCAGGAGCCATCCTGACTTGCTATCATTCATGCTGTTTTCAACAAGCAGTACTCCAAAGCCGAACTTACTGCCTTTGAGACAATTCTAACTCAAGGTGACCCTATAGAGCAGGGTGGAACTGTCTCTGTCGGTTTCTGAGACTGAGAAAGCCTCCTCTTTACCTCCATCAGAGCAGCTGGTGGTTTGAAACTGCTGAGGAGGTTAGCAGCCCAGTGTGTAACCACTATGCCACCAGGGCTCCCTAGACCCCTCGCAGCATCCAAGTAAAGAAACGAACAATCAGTACATCAGAAGTCTCCTCATGGGTGGACTACTGTGGACTTAGGGGCTTTAGCAGACTCTCTGGGAGAGCCATCGAGTTGATTCTGACTCCTGTTAACGCTCCGCTCCGTAGGACAGAGTAGAAATGCCCTTATGGGTTTCGGAGACTGTAACTCTATACGGGAGTAGAAAGCCTCATCTTTCTCCTGTGGCGCAGCTGGTGGTTTGGAACTTAGGACTTTGTGGTTAGCAGCCCAACTATACCTAGGACACCACCAAGGCTTTAGAGACCCATAAATCTCTTAAAATTATAGGCAAACATTTATGTAGGTTTATGCATTTCCATGAAGGGAGCGATCTAGTGCCTTTATCAGAATCTCTGGTGGGGAGAAGACCCTAACCTGCAACTGACTGGCTCATCAGAGATCCATTCACTCATTCAACACACCATCACAATCAGAATACCAAAGCAACAAGGACTACAATATAAGGCCTTCTCGGGCCAGGTACACTGTATACATATTCTCTCTGCCCTTTACAAAACCTTGAAATAGAAGTATCATCATCTCCATTTTAGACAGGGAAACCAAGGCTCAGGAGTGGTGACGTGGCTTGCCCAGCACCACATACTGTGCAGGTATTTTCAAAAACTCACATTCACCATCAGATCTGCTGCCCCAAAAGCTGGATTTCTTCCACCTCTGTAACATGACGTTGCTTCACTTCTGCTCAGAACAAGCTAAGCTTGAAATGCCAGGACTGGACAGGAAATGAAAGCATTAGGTCAAAAGCCCAGGCACCTCTTTTTTATATAACGCCCCTCCAACCAATGAAAAGACAAGGCGGGGTGGGTGGGTGTGTGTCGGGAAAGTACTGCCTTTAAAAGTCATGCTTTGTCTTTAAGAGGTGTGGCTATAGGTTTCTCAAGTAGGAGTTATCTAACCACAAACCTGTCATTACACTGCAGTTTAGAGGATGGCTATGATTGGTTGACCAAAAGAGCAACATTTGAATTTAAAGACCCAAACAACCAAGGGTTATTACTTCAGTGAGGGAGCTAACTGCCTTCTGGTTAGAGGAAGCTCCTACTGGAGTCAGAGATTAGACACCTTAGCCCAGCGCTAGTGTGATAGCAGTACAAGAGAAAGCAGAACAAGGAACGGTGCTGGGTAAACCCATTCCCACTCCCTCAGAAAGGGATTTTATTAGTAAACCTCCTCGTAGAGGAATCAGCCTCTAGTTCAAGTGAAACTCACCGAAAAAGTCGTGAAAGCACTTTGGATTCCAAAATTGTAGTAATTAATCATTTTAAGATTCAAATTTCTTATTGACCTTTAAATCGAAAGTAAAATGGACCTGTCTTTTGCAAAGCTCTCTGACAGAAGGTGGCAAAGTTAGATGGCACAATCCCTCTGCCTGCTTTCTTGCGCTGTCACTAGTAAAAGCAAGTTAAGGCTGCTTCCCATTTTGTCTCTCAGCTGTACCATTTGATCAGTGCGTACACTGTACTCTTGGTACTTTATTCAGGGAAGGTGCATATTCGAATATCTATACATGAAGAGTGAGTCCGATGTCCTTATGTCTCAAGTTACAGATTTAAAAAAATCACATCCTTTTAGTACATTTAGTATGTTGTTCGGAGTGTTGAATTCTGTTTGAGAAAGGAAAGTGGAAAAAGTAACTTATCTTTGACAATACACGTTTTTCTGACACGTACAGCAGGATAGGGAACATCAAAACTACAGAACTTTTTCACAGCCCTGGTGGTGTAATGGTGACACGCTGGCCTGACATGCAGTTGGTCAGCAGTTGGAAACCACCAGCCACTTCATGGAAGACGGGTGTTCTACTCCAATATAGTCAGAAAAACCCACAGGGGCAGTTCTACTGGGTGCTATAGGGTCGCTACGAGTTGGCATCGACTCCACCGCAGTATGCGTTTGAGCCTGAAGCAACTCCAGAGAAACACCTGACAACTGGCTTCCACAAAATTATCTTATGTCAACTAAGTGCACATGGAAGCACACCAGCATTTGTGACCCAAGAATCCTAATTTATATAATCAAAAGCCTAAGGAGGGATGTTTCAGAGCTTAAATTGTGAGATTCTGGGTTGCAGAAGGCTATGGATGACAGTGGAAGCCCAAGACGAATTTGTGAGATCTACACAGGAAATAAGCCTCCGCTGACTTCGCTCTATCCATAACTGAGGGATGGGAATAAACCGGTTACCAGAGCACTGGAGAGATGACGATAGATCAAAATGATAGAACTTGAATCGTTAAAACCCTGATACACTTTGGGCCCGATCTGGGTTTTCAGTATTTTTCCTTTCCTATTGGGGTTTATCTCTGATGTGTTTTGTCATTGTGAGTAGTCCCCTTGAACTTCTGCTGCACGTTTTTGTTTTTGGTATGTGAAACCCAGGACTGATGAACCTAAAGAGACAAGCAGAATAAAGGTTCCTGGGGTGGACGGTGCGGGGGTCCTATGGGTCTCTGTGCAGAGATACAGAACAAACCAGACCTGAGTCCTTGAGTGGCCTCAAGAGTTGGAAGTTGCGATAGAGGGGGTGAAAGAGCTAGCTTGCTGTTAACCAAAATACTAGAAATATAACAATTTAAAATTAAAAAAAAAACTCCTAAATTTAATCCCCTTTCCCTCAGGTGATTTTCTGTGTCCCAAAGAAACGACCAGTGACTCAAATACTCTCCCCTCTGAGGAAGCAAAGCAGCAGTGTAGAATTTTCAGGAACTTTTTTGTTGTTGTTGAAACTCACTTTATTTAAAAAAACAAACAAAAACAAGCCCCCCCCCAACTGTCATGAACAATAAATTACAATCATTTCCCCCTCTTATAAATTCTTCATAAAATATATTTGACAATCTTAAAAGAAAATTTCAAAAGTTGCTTTCATTGTTGAAGTGCTGATGACTTGGTTTTTGACCATTTTGTCCCCATGCTGGTGAATTCTTTTGTAGCTGCTACAATAGTTTGATTGATAAAACGTTTTATACAAGTAAAAACAACAGAGAGAAGAAACAGACCAGCAGAAAGAACTACTCAGTGTGCTATTTATCTGACACGAAACACTTACTTCATCATAAAGACAAAGTATTCCTTAGCACCAAAATCTACAGGAACACCATCGTTCTAAGTGACAACTAGTGCAAAGTGACGTGCTAGGGACTAACTGTACAACCCCGCACCTTCACTGGCCACCGCTGCTTTAAGCTCATCTGAAACATTTGGTCTTCGTAAAATTCAGATAAATTTCATAAAACACTATTAATCATGGCAACAGGACTCTACTAGGAGGGATAATGATTTATTGAGTACCTATTACTGGCAAAGCACCGCATTTTCACGATCATTTTTCCTCTAGCAAATATCCAGGAATTTTGAAGAAGCAGTAATCATGTTTTCCTTCTTATTCCTGACTTGTGGCTAAATGCCAATTGTAAAATGTCATTCTAGCAACTGATTTTAGTGCTGAGCACCCAGCAGGTACTTACTAAATACTTTCTGACAGAAGGAACAAAGAAAGACAAAGGGTTTATCACCAGTTTGCTGGTATCAAAGGCTATTTTAGAATAGGAGGACTTGAAAAAAACTCCAGAAGAGACTAATCGCATGATACCGGTCCCACCTGATCCCCCACTCCCAAAGAAGGAATTCCACTTTACAGGTAAAATAAGTATTTTAAATGAGGCAGGTGGCAAATGAAGCACTGGTATACCATCATCTAGGAATCTCTTCTCAAGTGCCACATTAGGGAGGAGGCCACAACATAAGGGCACTTTATTTCCATTAATGAAATCCCCTTGGTGATACAGTGGGGTCACATTTTCATGAGGTTCCAGTGCATTTCCACCTCTAATTTCCAAATGAATCCTTACATTTATTTACTTTGAAAGCGATGTTAACCATATACCATTATTTTTCCCATCAGAAGAAATTGTAATAAAACATTTCAGGTCAGTTCAAAATTTCAACTTCTAAACCAAGTAAAACAAAGGTTAGAACTTTTATGTACTCCAACGTTTTTGTTTTCTTCTGAACGCATTTTAAATGAAGGAAACATTATAATGGCAATATTCCAAAAGCTATGGAAGTCTTAAAAGGCTAAGGAGTCTATGGAAACTACCAAGGATTTCAATATTCTTATAATTTTTATTTTTTTTACTTTTGACCAAAGATTCTGATGCTTTAAAAGATTAACCTAGTACAATGGCCTTGAAAGTCTAGCTAACCTCAAAGGCTAATACTCTGCATTAGGAAAACATTCTTTTCCTTAGCTTTTAACTATCTGCATTTACAAAAAACAAAATTGGAGACAACACAGGACTAAAATCAAACTAACTTCAAGAACAGTAATAGTTGTTTTTTGACATAGACCATACCAAGTGATTGTATACAATCGATATTTTTTCCTATTTGAAAGATGTAGTTGATGCCACGATATTTTATCCATTTACCAAACTGTTTAAGTATCATCTCTCACTTCAGAAAATGGTGACCAGCATTAAAGACAACCATATCACAGCCTCACTCTCAAAATGGACGAGAAAACAGCATCAGTGCCAAAAGGAAAGGGAATCCAGTGATCAAACAAGAGGCCATTATTAGGGTGGGTGATGTGAAAGTAGAGTTCATTTGGTTTTATCAACTTTATGCTGAAGCTTTAAAACCAAAAATTAATATATCAAGTACTATACTTAATGTGTAGCAGTTTTCAAAAATAGACAAATCCTCTGTTCATATTTGTATCAGATTGCAGATACTCAAGTGCAGACATGTCTCAATGCAGTGGTTTAATTGGCTAATTGAATGCTTGGTTACCTAAAGGTATGATAGAATCATTAAGTGTCCTTGCCAACCTGTTGCCACTTGACCCCATAACTAATTCAACTCCTGCAGCTATAGGGCACCGGAGAGCTCAAACATACTTCAGCAGCTCTGGATGACTTAATTTCATGTGTTTAATAATTTCAGACCCTCTAAAACTGTCTTTAAAAAAAAACTTTAAAATATTACAAAACAAAACAGTATGATTAGAGGGAAGAAAAAGGTAGGGAGATGAGGGAAGTTCTTTTTTTCCATTACTGATTTCACCAGCAAATCTCAAAAACCCAAACCTACACCAAATAATTTAGACAGAAGTGGCATTTTCTTCATATGGAATGCAAAATGCACACACTCATATACTTACATATACATAAATATATACATATATGTTTCCTTTACAAAGCTTCATTAGGTTGCATTACCAGCATGCAGACCTCTTCTTCCATGAAAATTCCTAATACTGACAAGGAATGTCTAAAATACTTAAAGAGAGACATATTTCCAGAAAACTGGACTCTTCTTTTCTTGGCTCTTAAGAGAATTTTCCTGCCCAACTGCTACCAATGATCATTTAAAAAATGTACACTCACATTGGTAATACACATTTATAACATATTAACAAAATGGCCAACTTGAACTTGAGAAAAATAAGGGGAAAAAACAAAACACCCCACGATAAAATCTAAACCCTTAGAAAGTGTTTAGCTTTTGATACTTTTTCAGCCATATAATGTTGCATCACTGTTAGAACAGAAGCAGCACAGCATCCAAGATATTTGCAAACAATGCATGTGTCACGTTTCCCAGCTGCTATCTTTAAATGCAATTTGTACTAATCTGAGTTCTAGTTCAAAAGCATCTGGACGATCCTGAGGGTTTGCAGCCAGCATTTCTTTAATCAACTGTTTCATTCGCCCATTCATATACTTCTTCTTTACAGGAATGAGAAGTTCCATTTTGGGGTTTTCCAGGAGTGCCTCCCCTACAGGCACAATCTCAGTTCCTTGTTTTACGTAACTCCCCAAGAGCTCCTTCTTTGTCTCTGTGTCTATGAACGTGATCCTTTCCAGCATTGCCCAGATGATAATCCCCAGAGCAAAGATGTCAGCCTTTGCTGTGTAATGCCCCTCCCACACCTCAGGAGCCATGTAGAAATCTGTCCCACAGGCTGTGGAGAGGAAACACTTGTTTACACTGACAGGTTCTTCTGGGTTCTGCCCAGAGGCTGAGCAAACTTTACTTAAACCAAAATCAGCCACTTTCAGTGTGGGTTCCAAGTCACTGGTATCCAACCTGCTTTGAGAAATCAGGATGTTATCTGGCTTGAGATCTCGGTGGATGATCTGGTTTTTATGCAAGAAAGCCAGGGCACTGCTCAGCTGAAGCATAAAGCTGGTATTAGTTTTACGATTGGGTTTCCTGGACAACAGATACTCATTCATATCTCCTCCGTCACAAAAATCCATGACAAACCACAGGTAATAGGCGCTTCTGGGATCAAAGGCAATTTCTCCTTTTAATGAAGTCTCTACAAGCTGGAACAAGAGGGAAAAACAAACAAACAAACAAACAAAAAATAGATTATAACCATCTGCACAGGTAATAAAGTTCAGTTATAGTAAAAAAGTAACTGATTCAAAGGTTAAGACAATCTCCAATGTTATGTAGAAATGCCACGGATATCCTATTTTGTCAATGCTTTCATACATACATTTTAAAGCACAGCATTTTGAACCGTCAATTTGTCCCTATTAAATGCAGACCAAATCTTGAAGTCAAGAAGTAAAAACTTATCAAAAACAGCTATCCTTTGAAGAATGTCCAGTTGGCTGCAGTTCTTTTTTTAACACGTCAATGGACCTGAACTCTCCACATCTAGCTAATAGCGTCATAAAAAAGACCAAAGTTTCAGCAGCTAGACTCGACAGAGTGCCAGCTAGGCTATAAACTTCAATGGAATGGAAGTGAAATACACTTCTTGCTCACTATACATGTACTACCGATACAATATGTACGATCAAGAGAAGATGATCAAAGACCGACGAGGTGTTTCTGAAGCAGAGTGCCCTTATAATAACGGATAAAATAAAGACCAACACCATCACGCCACACACTTCTACAGGGAGAATGCAAACACAATCTCGACCACTTATAAAAACCAAATTTTCATTTCGTTACAAAAATTGAAGCCTGTGTTCATTGATTGCTTCTTTGATGTACGATGTCAACCTAGAATAAATCCATTTTATTCATGGTCAGTGTCTATATAACTAGCCTATCATTTAAAATTGAAGAATATTATTTCCCTTAACATAAACTACTACTCTTTAAAACTTGGGGGCTACAATGATTTGAAAGCATTTGTACAGTATTCCCTTTTAAGACCTACGGGTTAAGTAAAACTTGGAAGGGAGGCCAAAGGCTGTTGAAGAGTGAGTGGGCAGCTAATTCTGCATGTAAATCTACTGGTACTTACTCCTGTCATTTAAGAAGAGAGGGCAGAAACTAAATACCCCTCCCAGACTGTCCTCCCCACCCCCCACTGCAGTAATAGTCATCCAGACCATACAAAAAGAGACTATGGACTACAGATTGTATCCGTTTCTTTTATGTGTTTTTCTTGTTGTTTGTATTTGCCAATGAGACAGAGAAAGAGAAGAAACAGGTAGAGTTAACACAATTATTTACAATGTGCACTGCTACTAAGTATGCTGAGATTAAGAAGCAGCACCACTCTCCATTTCTTCTCTTGTCTTTACTAGTGAAAGCAAACTGCCTCAGTAACTGAACATGCAGACTCCCAGCATTTAAAGAATGGTTTAGAATAAGCCCTATAAGGTCTCTGCTCCATATTTTTCCTCTTCTTTCTTTTTTACAACGTAAAATGTCAAAAACAATTTTTTAGCATCAAGGCCATACAAAACCAGACTATGGGTTATAGTTTTTCAACTTCTGGCTGAGAACAGCACAAATAGTGGGCTTCATCTACTTATTTCATGTATAAAGAGAACGCTATTGATTCTTTTAGCTAAATTCAATAACTTCTGTTGGGATATAATCCACGATCTTTAAAACGGGCTGCAGACCCTGGTGGCAGTGAATTTACACTGGGCTGCTAGCCACAACGTCAGCAGTTTGAAGCCACCAGTCACTCCATGGGAGAAAGATGAGGCTTCAATTTCCCCCAAGAGTTACAGTCTCGGACCCCCAGGGCAGGTCTACCTTGTCCTATGGGCTGCTTGAGTCAGAATGGGCTTGATGACAGAGAGCTAATGGGCTCTCTGTTAGACATTCCAGCTTCAGTTAAAGCAATTCTCCTTGTCACTATAGTTTTATCCTCTTTCAATTCTTTTTATTTATTTCAATTCTTAGAATGATTCATGCTTTTTGTTGCAGGATCTTTGTATTTACAGTTTTCTGCTCCTACACCATGCTGTACTTCTCATTCATGATATTTATTACAAGCACACAAAATAGCCACAGCGTTCCTATGCGTGGAAACGTGTCCCCTGTTAATGACTTGTTTTATATTTTCTTCTTGTTGAGACTTATACCAATCAGTAACTGATTTATTGATTTCAATTGAGATCAAGGAAGGATATATCTGGAAAAACCTGGAGAAAAATTAAATTTGTACAAAGAATAGAGAAGCTCATTTATTTGAACTCCGTGGGCCCCTATATATTAATTTGTTGTGAATTGTTGAGTGCCTTCAAGTTCATTCTGACTCAAAGCGACCTCATGCTGTCTTTACTAGATGTAAACAGAGAAGGCACTTGGTTAAATGTGTTGACAAATATCTGCTTACTAGGTGCCAAGTGTTATATCTGTATGACCTCTCATTTCAACAACTCCATGGAAGGTAAAAATCATAGTCCTATTTTATACAAGAAACTTATGCTGGGAAAAATACATTATTTATCCAGGGCCATACAATTAGCAAAAGTGTCACAAGTCAAAACAGAGGTCTATCAGGCTTTTAAAAATGAAAGAGATTTACTAAACAAAAAGCTGCTTTAGTTAGGCTTGAAGGTAAACAAGTGGCCATTTAGCTCAGAAGCAACAGAGCCCACATGGAAGAAGCACACCAGCCTGTGTGATCACAGGTGTAGAAGGGATTAGTCATCAAAGAACAAAAAAAATCATATCATTGTGAATGAGGGGGGAGTGCGGAGTGGGGACCTAAAGCCCATCTGTAGGCAACTGGACATCCCCTTACAGAAGGGTCTTGGGGAGGAGACCAGCC